ACAACACCTCTTGGATTCATTGATTCTTTGTATTGTTTTCTTTGTTTCGATTTCATTAATTTCTGCCCTGATTTTTGTTATTTCTTCTTGTCTGCAGGGTTTGGGATTTGTTTGTCTTGAGTTGCAATGTGAAGTCATTTATTTGTGTTCTTTCTAATTTTTTGATGTAGGCACTTAGAGCTATAAACTTCCCTCTACAGACTGCTTTCAGCATGTCCCAGAGGTTTTTTTTGTGTTGTATTTTCCTTTTCCTTTAGTTCCAGGAATACTTTTATTTCTTTCTTAATTTCTCTTTTGACCCATTCATCATTTAGGACTCTGTTGTTTAATCTCCATGTGTTCACGTGGTGATTAGGGCCTCTTCCAGTGTTGATTGTAAGCATTATTGCATTGTGGTCTGATAGAACGCATGGAATTATTTCAATCTTTTTGTATTTGTTGAGGTTTGTTTTGTGCCCCAGTATATGGTCAATTTTGGAGAAGATTACATGAGGTACTGAGTAGAAAGTATGTCCTTTGGTGCTTGGTTGGAATACTCAGTAGATGTCTGTGAAGTCCATTTGATATATGGTATTGTTTAATTTAGATGTCTGTCTGTTAACTCTCTGCCCTGTTGACCTCTCTAATGGAGACAGTGGGGTATTGAAGTCCCCTACTATTAAGGAGTTGGGATTAATCTGGGTCTTAAAGTCCTGTAGTATTGTTTTTATGAAGTTGGGTACATCAGAGTTTGGTGAACATGTGTTCATGATTGTAATATCTTCTTGATTTATTGTTACTTTGATCAGAATGAAGTGACCCTCTTTATCTCTTCTGATTAGTTTTAGTTTAAAGTCTATTTTGTCAGATATTAGAATTGCTCCACCTGCCTTTTTCTTAGTACTATTTGCTTGGTATATTTTTTGCCATCCTTTCACTTCCAGATAGTGTCTGACTTTGAAAGTGAGTTGAGTTTCTTGTAGACAACAAAAAGATGGGTTTTGTTTGTTTATCCATTCACCTAGTCTGTGTCTTTTGACTGGGGAGTTCAGTCCATTAATATTTATAGTTATTAATGAAAGATGAGTATTGAATACTGTCATTTTTATTTCTGTTTATATACTTGGTATAGCTGTACTTTTCCACAGTTATACCTTCATTGGATTTCTTTGGGCAACCCCTTGGTTATAGTCATTCCTTTCTTCAGCTCTTTGTATTGCTTCCAGAACTCTCTGAAGGGCTGGTTTTGTGGAACACAAATTACTTCAGCCTGTTTGTGTCATGGAAGATTTTTCTTTCCCCCTCGATTATAATAGGCATTTTGTCTGGGTATAGTAATCTGGGTTGTTGTCTGTGGTCATTAAACCTGGGAATACTTTGGTCCAGGCTCTTCTGGCTTTCATAGTTTGCACTGAAAAGTCAGTTGTAATCCTCATGGGTATTCCTTTATATGTGACTTGTTGTTTTTCTTTTGCAGCTTTCAGTATTATCTCTTTGTTTTGTACGTTTAGTGTTTTTACTATGATGTGCCATGGAGAGTTTGTTTTCTGATCCTGTCTGTTTGGTGTTCTATAAGCTCCTTGTATTTGTACAGGCATGTCTTTCTTTAATTTTGGGAAATTTTCTTCTATGGTTCTGTTAAAGATCTGGTCCATTTCATTATGTTGGGATTCTTCTCCTTCCTGTATGCCTTTGATTTGTAAGTTTGGTCTTTTTATGGTGTCACACGATTCCTGCATATTCTATTCTTGTGTTTTGTTAAATTTTTCATAATCTTTGCTTGAGTGGTCCAGTTCGTCCACTTTATCTTCCAGTCTTGATATGCTGTTTTCAACTTCATTCATCCTATTGGTGAGGCTTTCTCCTGTCATTTCTAATTGGCTTGTTGAGTGGTTCACTTCCTTCTTTATTTCAGCCTGATTATTCTTCAATATTTCTAACTCTTTTCTAAATTCATTTAGAAGTTTATTCCATGTCCCTGTTTAACACAGGACATGGAATTCAAAAGAACAATTATAAACATGAT